TTTTGAAGGAATGTTAATGATTCAGAAGCTTAAAATAAAAAATAAAGAAAGTTTATTATTAAAACTTATAATCAAACAGATTAATCTAATTAGGACAATCAAACCAACCTGCTTTTCCAAAAAAGATTTAATTTTTTTTTCTGAGTCAAATCTCTTTAGGTTATCATAATTTATCTTCTTTTCAAGAATCGATTTCTAATTACACTTTAGTCTTTCAAATAACTCAGTCTTTGGTCCACTTGTTTTACCTCCAGTAAGAACACTTAAAAAGTGCTAAAATATATTTATTTCAAATCACTTAACTAAATTTTAATAATAAAGTGAACCGTTATTAAATTCATCGAGAAATATTAAATAAATAAATAAATATAAAAATATTTTATGACTTCTTTTCAATATTTACCTTTATATGTAATTCGTAGACATGATGACGGCAAGCCATCCAAATCAAAGCTTTTCCTCTCCACTGCTCAATAAGAGTACAGACTCCTTTTAGCCAACCAGTATTTGTGACTGTGGTGTCAAAGGACAGACAATCAACATGGTCAAATAGCTCCCAGTCTTGTTAAGTTTTTTTGATTGCTTCCCCAAGAGACTCAGCAGTGCCATCTTTCACAATTAAAATGCCCAAATTTGGGATTCTGAAAGATCTGGTGAACTGATTAGGACAGCTAATCTTTCAACTTTTTCTTTACCAATTTCTCTCAATTCTACCATAATTTTGGAGTCAAAATGCACAGTAAGACTTTTACCCTTAGCCAATATAATAAAGTTGACTTTAATTTTACAGGCAGTTGTACTTATACTTGATTTTTTCTGCCTCAAAATACTTTGTTTAGAAATAGAAAAATCATCTGTTGTTCCAGAACTGTTATTTATAAGAGAAGCAAGAGTTGCACTCAATGCAGTCGAACTTATTCCATATCGTGATGCTGTTGGAGCTAAATGTTAGTTAGATAACACAGATCTACAGAAAATTTATTTCATTAAATTTGACACTTGTTCTTACATAATTTTGATACGCTGAATTCAAATCTGGCATCAGATTTTTATGGAAAGCTACAGATTTTTTGCAATAAATGTTTTTTCATTTTGCAAAACATTAGAAATAGATCTAAAATACAGATTTGAAACTCATTTGGAAATGCTAGGATGTATATTTTACAATAAAGTTGTTTACAAAACTAAAACAAAAGCAGAAAACAGATAAAAATAAAATGCAAACTGTTTAAAATGAACATTTTATAAATATCCCAGTCCTAAAAAAGTTATCAACTTTTTATTGATTAATAGCAAAATCAATTACAACTGGTCAAGATAACTATTTATATAATGAAGTTTTGTAACCAAGATCACTAAGAGCTTTTGACATTTTATCAATTAAATCTGAATAGTTTTCTGCTTTTTTATTTCCGAGAAAGTTTTTTACATTAACCACAAATAAAAACAAAGCCGTTTTCTCTTGGATATTCATTATTTTAATGAATTCTTTATCTTATATTAGCAAGTTTGTGGCCCATTAAAAACTTCTTTTTTTTCCTCAATTGACAAACCTGTTAATGATGTAACTATACACTGAAAATTTGGTTTTGATATCCAACTTAATAGACTTAGAAATACTTTTTATAATATATGGCACTTTTGATAATATATGGCATATATATATATATATATATATATATATATATATATATATATATATATATATATATATATATATATATATATATATATATATATATATATATATATATATGTATGTATATATATACACACACACACACATTCCTAGTCAGTATTTATGGGAATATTTTTTTGATAATCCTGTAAAATACATTTTTTTTTTGCTTTTTTTAACTATTTTTTTCATATATATAATTTATATAGATACATGAAAAATATATTTTTTATAATTATTTTTGTTATTTTTATTATTGCATATTATGTTTCATCTTTTTTTTTTTTTTGCATCTATTTGCAAAAACGATTAATTACAGTAATATAACCATATTTAAACCATGTCTTAAGCCTACTATAATTTTACGGACAGGTTTGTAGGTTTTTACAGCAAAAAATTAGGGGGGCAGTTTTTGGATTTTTTTTACAGAATATACTTAAATAATAAGAAAAATAAAAACAAAAAGAGAGAATTTTACCTATCTGGAAAAATTTTTTTCTTTAAAAAGATTCCTTATTTAAAAGTAATGTGAATGTTAATAAAATCACAATCAATTTTTTAATATAAATTCTGTTAAAATAACAGCAATAAATGGATAGCTAATCAAAATAATTTCTTTTAGCTCTTTTAAAATGGAAAGCGACAATCTTGTCTTTCCTTTTTCCGTGATTGATAATGATTTGCTTATTGTTAAAGTATATTTTTATAATTATATTATTTATAAATGTACCACTATTAAAATGTTGACCGCACATGAAAATTGTTTCACTTCCAGAATTTAGGAACTTTTTGACAACATATCTGATATCATTAGCATTAAAAAATAAATCTTCTTGAGCCAAATCTAGTTTAGCAAAGCTATGTGATACATATGATGCAAGATAGTTTCCTCTAGAAAGCAAATTTGTATACTCAATGCAAATGGAGATCTCAAGACTTTACAAAATTTCACACTCAGCACAAATTGTTTTGAGAGTTTTTTTATAATAAGTCTAGAAATATAAGTTGCCACTTCCTTGCTGTCATTGTTTAAATCAACTTCATGAAAACCATTTCCGAAATCAATTTCACATAAATGATTTTGACTTGACTGGTTGAAGTTTTAAATCCCAGTGATTTATATCCCCTTTTATTAATGATTTTATTTGAAGTATCTTCTCTAAAGACTCAACTTCATGCAAACCAACAAAAAAACTACCTCCACTGATTTATCTATATTTTAAAAATTGACATTCCAGTGGGTCACTTTGAAATTGACTTAAAATATAATCATCATCCTCATTAAGTAAATCATCACACAAATCAGTAGAACTTTTAATGTTTTTCATTTTTATTTTTCAGGTTATTAATTTATTTAAAAGTTACTTTTTAAATGTCTGTTGTTCTTACTCAAAATTTTAGCTTAATTATTTTTTTATTAAGTTTTAATTATAATTAATTAATAATATTAGGTTATTTAATATTTATCTAATCAATTTATTTTATTAGTTAAAACCGTTCATTTACATGTTTACTGTTTTTTTAATATTATTTAAGCTCAGAAAGTCTGTTAAGTTTAATTTTAGTTCACGAATAACAACAACAACAAGCTATTTGTTTTCCATAAATTATTTTTACAATAGAATTAATAAAACTAGTAAAAATGAATATTACAAAATAAACAAAATTAATACAAATTATAATAATAGTAATAATAAGTATGTTTACAATAATTACAAGGAAAAATAAAATATTATTTTTTTTTTTAAAATTCTACTTCACTCCCAGCAAGGCTGCAAGCAACCACTGTTAAGTTGGAGGTTACTAGAAAAAAAGAGTTATAGAACAAGGAAAGGGTTGACAGAAGGCTTAAAAAGTTGAAGGCTGTCTGAGTCAGGAAAATATGAAGATGGGAGAGAGTTCCAAATGATTGAAGTTTAGGAAAAAAAGTTTTTAAAGCATGCAGGTACAGATACAGTAAAAGAATGAGACTTTGCTGAATGATGAGTCAAGTGAGAATGAGTTTTAGTTGTTGAAGCTCTAGGTTGATAGTTCTTTTGAGTAGCAACCATTATAGTATTTGTAGAAAAAAGAAAAAGATGCAATTTTTTGCTTCATGACAATGGAAAAGAGGCTCAAGCTTACCAGATAGAGCGGATAGATCCAACTATGTTTACAATGCTTTTTTAGACCTTGTCTAGAAGAGAAAGAGCATTATTAGAAAAACCAGCCTAAATATGACAAGAGTATTCCATGCATAGATAAATTAGAGGTTCGTAGAAGTATAAAATAGAATCAGAAGAGAGAAAATGGCAAGCACGATAAGGAGAAGCATTCTTAGCAGATGCTAATTTAGCAATCGATTGTATATATGGTTTCCATGAAAGATCAATAGTAAATGATAATCCAAGAAGCATTAAAGAAGAGGACTCAGTGAGAAGGTTGCCATTCATTAATATAGAAATGTCAACAGTACTGGGATAGTTGTTTACAGTAAACTTAGTTTTGTTGGAGTTAAAAGTTATAGGCTGCTGTTAGCCCCATTTTTCTAAAAGTTCTAAGCGATCAAAAAGAGAAGACTTTTTGTCAAGACAGGAGTATAAAGTTGAGTCATCAGCAAAAAGACCTACTTTAGATGTAAGGTTGTCAGGAAGATAATTAATGTAGACAAGAAATAGAACACGACCTAGTATAGAACCTTGAGGTACCCCTAAAGTTACTGGAAATAAAGAAGAGTGCTGGCCTTTGAGGATGACTTTAATAAAGCAATAACAATGAAACGATTTGATAATCTCAAAAATTTTCCTAGATACACCATATGAAACAAGTTTATGGAGAAGACCAGCATGCAAAATTTTGTTAAAAGCCTTAGATTTGTCAAGAGTAACAGCCCTGCCTCTACAACTCCATCTAATGCATGATAAAATATTTCAGTCACAAAAGTTACCAAGTCAGCCATAGAATGAGAGGACTGAAAACTTTATTGGTTGTCTGACAGAAAGTTATTTGACTCAATGATGGGACATGACAGATTTGTTTATTAAAGGCTCAAAGACCTTGTTAATAACAGAAGACTGATCAGACGGTAATTGGAGGATCAGAAAGTTTACAGGAATTTTTGAAAATTGGAACAACAGATGCCATTTTCCAGCAGGCAGGAAAACAAGACTTAGTCAAGCATTTATTAAATAGTTTAGAGAGAATTAAAGAGAGTTCTGAAAAAATTTTTTGTAAGATTATAATAAGAAGGTTGTCTGACCCCCTAGGCCATAGAATAGATATGACTTTAGCAAGTGAAGCTGGAGTCATTTGAATGTCTAACAATAGGTTAAATGTTTTACTGGAATAAACGGTAGAGAGTGGCCATAAGATTCGAGAGCCAAATTAGTAGAAAAATTATTTGCTAATAGTTCTGCCTTATCCTTAGAAGGGTTAATAAGATCACTCCCATAATCGAGAGATAAATGTTACATCAAACCTTAACAATGCTGTTAAAGATTTTGCAAAAGTCTCTAGATCCTAACTTCTTGGGATTTAAGGAACTGAGAATAATAAAGCTTATCATGTGACAGCACTTTTTTAAGTAAATTTTCTGAAATAATAAATAGCTGTTTGTTTTCAAGAGTGTTGTTCTTTTGAAAAAGATGAAAAAAAAGATTTTGATTTGATATAGCACATGCACAAGAAAGTGAAAACCATGGTGTAGAAAGAGGCTTGATTTTGAACCAATGAGAAGAAATAGAAGTTCCTGCCTGAATCCAGGAAGTTATATAGGAGTTACATTTTTTAGCTGAGAGGGAAAAAACATAACAAGGAAGATGAAAGATTTAAAAAAAATAATTCCATGGTCAGAATTAGGGCGAAACTGAATACAAGCTAGGATTAGAAACCAGATATAAATCAAGAAGTGAAGGTTAATGATTAGGGTTGTCAGGTAAACAAGTCATGAAGTTAACTATCTGAATAAGAGATTAAGAAATGCATAAGTTACAGGTTATAGAGCTAAGCCATTCGATGTGATGAGCATTAAAGTCATCAATAGCAGCAATATTGGCAGAGGGATAAAGGAAACAAATAGGTGAATTGATGCATATGTGTACCCCCAAACCAAGTATGTGACTATTGAAATCAAAGGATAGTACCCATAAACACTAAGATCAGAAAAAAGAATATCAGAATTTAAATTAATCTCACTAAGAGCAAGTAAGTTTGGTGAATTTTTCAAGAGGTAAGATTTAACTTGATGAAAGGTTGCTTTACAGACCACAAATAAAAGATATATTAATACAGTTAGGTGGTAGGGATGGTTTTTTATATTTTTATTATTTTAGGTTATTTTTGGCATGATTTAAGTTTAAAGAGAGCTTGACTCGTTTTTAGATAGAACACAGCCTCCTAAGTAATTAGCTATGAAATTTCCTTAGTCCTGTTAATCATCCTTATGTTGTAACATAGGGCTCCTTATGTGGTCTATACAAGGCGCATCAAAAGTATTAACAGGAACACCATCCATATGCAACATGGCATTGTTAATACTCTGATATTTTGTAGTGTTAATGGAATCTGCTTCTCTGAGAGCTACAATAGAGTTTGGGAAATCTTACTACCAGCCAGCTCAGAGCCATTAAACTGAGATTTAGAGCTGTATCCTCGTTAGGAGATAACAGGAAGAGTTGCATAGCCACTATCTAGGAGGTGCAACAGTAAACTTGCTTTAATTACAAGGAATATTGCATTTCTATTGATTTCAGTTTGTAGACAAGACTTTATGACATAAGGGTTTAGACCAATGGAGTTTTTATTTTTTTTTAAATTCATAAAAATCATAAAAACAAGGATACTTTTTTAAAAAACTTACAATTTTCATCCATACCAACATATCTTCCACCACAATACTTAATACATTTCTGTTAGAACATTTCATCAAAAATTAAAACACAATCTGAATCTACTTTTCCTTCCGCCAAAAGTAATTTGATAGCTTTTAAGGGCTCAATTCCACCAGCTGCTAATTTTTTTAAGACAATTATAGAAACAAAAGAAGAATTTTCCTTGTAAGCGAATGTTTTTGAAGTGTAGCATTGCTATAATGTAAAACAAAGAACTTCAGATGAATATGGTTTTCTACCTTTTGGTTTAAAATATTGGATACTATGAGTTTAATCTAAAACAGTATTAATTTTTTTTGCAACATTTTATACATATAAGATGCAAGGTTTTCTAAAATACTTATTTTTTTAAGTAAGTATTGGTTTTGCTTAAACTACTGTGAAAGAGGAATTTGGCAACCATTTATAATGAAATTCCACATGCAAATTCCAAAATACCAATAGAAAATACTTTTAAAAGACGATAATGTAAGAATGGGAGTTAAATTTTAAAATTTTGGGAGTTTTTTAAAAACAAAGCCAGCAGGACTTAAAGACAAATCTAATATATTTATGTGTTTGATTGAATCTTTTACTATAAAAGTATCTGATTCGTCTTAAATAAATGTAGCACATTTTTTAGGAGATTGTCTTGATGACTTTGGAGTAGATTTGTTTTGGATGTCTGAATAAATCATTAGTATTGGTTCAAGGTCATAAATAATAGTCATTCTTATACCATGCTTTAAAAAATTTGGATCAAAATAAACACTACAAACACCTGAATGTTCTATAGGAAACCAATTCTTTCTATTAACAAACTTATCCCCTTTTTTTGTAACTCAGGTCTTTTTAGCATCAGGAAAGCAAAAACACTATATTCTTTGTTATAAGTTTCTGGAGTAAATTTTTGAAAATTCCTTTTTCTATTTGATGTTTTGCTTTTGTATCCACTTCTACAGAATATCAAGACTTGTTTGGCATTGTCATATTTCAAAAGCAACAAGAAAATTTTTATAAATTTATACATTTAAATTAGATTCTAATTCAAATAATTATATTCTTTGTGTAATACATATTATTATTATAATACAATAATTAAATACTTAGTTAAAATATAATTGAAAAACATTAATTTAATAAGTTCCTCATGGTTAAACTCTTAATAAAATCTATAAACAAGCATATTTCACAGCAATAAAAAAACCTCTTAATTTTTTAAACCTCTTGGCCTCTTAATTTTTTGCCGTAAATATCTACAAACCCGGCTGTGTAATTAGCCTGACCTTGATCCTGACCCTAACTAAACCTCACTCAATGTAGCAACACTCCTACCAGCAGCAGGCTATAAGGTAGTCGATGTATGTACTTTGATTAAAAGTTGCTTACATTTTTTTTTTACAAAAAAATGACGTATGCAGGGACAAAAGATTTACGGGTACACAAAAATGCCCCTGGTAATGCTAATGTCCCTGTAAGTATTTGTTTTTTTTTTGTCATGTCTGTCCCTGTAAGTGGTGATACTATATGCGTCTGTGTATGTGTGTTTATATATATATATATATATATATATATATATATATATATATATATATATATATATATATATATATATATATATATATATATATATATATATATATATATATATATATATAAATGTATATGAATGAAGTTAGCTAAGTAATGACTATAATTATTAAAAATTACTTATTCTTTTACTTTCAGTTGACAAATAAGTTTGGTTCAAAAAAGGTATTACTAAATTATTACGTTAATGTTATTATATTAACTATATGTTAATTTTTTTTTCCTATTTGAATCAATTTAAAAAATATTTTTAATTTTTCTTGTTTTTAAGATAAGTTTTACGCAAAACATTTTAAGTTTGCTTATTTTACACTAGTTTGTAAGTAACTTTTAAAGTAAACCTTTTTGTATTGTTTCCTGATTAGGATGATGAATGCTGGATCTTTTTGATTCTACTCATATGTTTTTGATTGTGTTTGTGTAGCTATTGCACTCTTTTATTTATATCTTAATGAATATACAACTCCAAAACTTAATGGTTCTGAACCGAAGTAATAGCAAGTTTTTCTAAACTCTGTGATGAGACTGGTTCCAATCAGAGGCTAATTCATTCAACAGCTGTAAAATATCAAAGTACTAGCAGTGCAATGTTGCTCATGAATGGTGTTTTTGTTAGTTCTTGTTGGGGTAAAAATAAGGGCAATTTTGCCCTAACAACACGCACCAAATTTAGGTTAGTAAAAATGTGACTATTGTACCAAAAAATATTAAATAACTATCACCATTTCCTAATTTTTTCTATCTATCTTTTATGAGTATTTTTTTGAAAGTAACTTTTCATCTATTGAATCTTATCCTTTGCATAATTCATCAGACTTAGTTGCTTTTTGTAAGACTTGAATTTAAATTGTTTTATCTTAGTAACCTCAGTGTTGATGGCTACTATTCTTTAATTGGTAATAACTCCAAAAATTATATTTATTTAAAAACTTTGGCATATAAAATACACCAAATGATCACACATGAGCAGTGAACGCCTGAGGGAAGAAATGAAGTATTTTAGAATAAAGGAGAATTATTTTTTGAACAAAGCATATTTTGAAAGTTGTCAAGTTAAAAACAAAGATTAATAGAGGAATATTTAAAAATAATTTATATTTTTAAAAAACAAAGATTAATAGAGGAATATTTAAAAGACAGACAATGCACCTAAAACAATACTTAACAATAGTAATAATATATATATATTATATATATATATATATATATATATATATATATTGTTTTATTAACACAAATATGAACGAAGATATACAACAAATATATAATCAAACAAAAACTTATAGAACAAAAAATTGATTACAAAATAAAAAGTATGCTTACAACAATGGAAGGCCTCAGAATGGAAAAAAAACATTAATGCTAATGTGTAAACATAATTTGTGTAGTGATTAAGTAATAAACATCTTCCCATCAGACAAATGTCATAGCCACTTATGCTTTACCCCGAAACTTGAATTTAAATTGATAAATAAAAACATGACTTGAATTTAAATTGTTACATCTCAGTGACCTCAGTATTGATGGCTGCTATTCTTTAATTCGTAATGACTCCAAAAATAATATAATTGACCTTGGCATATTTTAATGTATTAAATTATTTTTAATTAAAATTTTGTATCCTCTGACTATTCTTTTATGTGTTTCCATCTAATATCTCTTCTAACAACTCTTCACTCTCCATCTAACAACTCTTCACTCCTTTCTTTTTGTTTTTTAATTTTTTTTTTCTCAAGACTGCTTTTATCTCAATGTTGTTTCATGTCAAATTGATCAAGCTTTTTTTTTCCATTAGACAATATTGTTGTTATTGGTGATTATATGTTGATGTTGGTGACTTTGCTCATCATGTTGAATAGCTTGGCTTTAGTATCGCTGACCCTGTTTGACTAAAGCTTTAAACCTTTTTTTTTATCAATCTCATACTCAGATAGTCAACTTTATGACTCATTTTCCAGACAAACTTAATTACTTACCTTCACTTTTTGATTTATGTCTCTAACCTTAGCTTGTGTTCAATTTAATGACTTCAATGACCCTAGCTTGTGCTATGGGTCTCTTTTTTTTCTTTAGATGGTTTGGACCGTGCTATGATACCTCAAAAACAGCAGTTTTTTAAGTCAACTGTCAACTTAAAAATTTACAGTTTTTCAAGTCTTTCGTCAACCTTTTTCTTCCTTTTTAACAACATTCTTTTAACATTCTTTATTTTCTGGTAACTTTCAACTCAATTAGTGGTTGCTTGTTGAAAGTAAATTAATTTAAAAAAAAAACTTATCTAAGAAGTTTGAATATTGATTGTAAATCAAGTTTTAAACAGCTAATTTTGGTTTATAGTCTTCCAGCCTAAGGAAGCATTTATGTATATTTTAAAATTTTTATTTAAAGGTTTTTATGTAATGCCCATACAGTTGAGCATCAGCTCTTTGTTCACAATATCAGAAAATTGGATAAAAAGGGTTGGGGAAGGAATTCTTTTTTTATCTTTTTCATAAATAAATTTTTATCAAGTAAACTCATTTTACAAATTTATCAAATAACATAAAAATTAATAAAAAAAAAAAGAAAACTAATTACTACACAGATTCATTCATTGGTTAGTTATTATTTTGTTTTTGTTTTAAACATTTTCTTATAAGTGTTAATAGAAGTATATAGTAAATATTGTAATATTGTAATATAAGTATGTTATAATTGTAAGTGGTAATATTCTTTCATTCAACTGTTTATAGACATAACAAAAATCAGAAATAACCATATAAGAGACAAAATGAATAATGTTGAATACCATTAACAGATTTAAAAAAAAAAATTTTAAAGTGTTTTTTCACAATAAACAAGAATAAAAATAAAGTGTTAGAATTAGCTAAAAAAAACTGATAAATTTGAATTGAATTCGATTAAGCCTATTTTCTTTTAGCTTCCAACTAGTAATTAATTGTATTATTTAAAACCCAATTTGTGTCAATTTGGTGTCAATTTGGGTCGCCCTAATTCTAGTACAATCTGCCTCATATAATTTATATTAATATCTGCTAAAGCCTATTGAGCTAATAGGTTAAGTATAAACCAAAATATAATTTCTATTAAGTTTTTTTTATACAGATATCTCAAATCAATGTAAAAAAATTTATTTATTTTGAGAAGTATTTTTTGAAGTTAAATAAACTAAACTTTAGAAAATAATTTGTAAATGCATTAAATTTATAACGTTTACAAACTTATAAGATTTAGTAAATAATCAATTGTTGTTCATCCATTTTTTTTCATTCATCCAGAGTTTTTTTTTTGTTTTTTTTTAACAAAGTTAAGGTTAACAAACTTTGTTAACAGTTAACAAAGTGCAAGGTTTATATAAAAAAAAACAATGAAAATTTTTTTAATGACTTTTTTTTTGTATATATGTTTTAAACTAAATAAATTATTTAGTTTAAAATATTGTTGGTATTATAAAACTCTCTCTCAGTTTTAATCATTAGTTAATACTCATACTAAAAGTAAAACATTTTGGATTTTAAGGTTGTTTGATATTATTTATGTAAAAAGCAGCATAAGATAATAATGAAGCTATATTGAAGGTTATTTGGGAAAAGTGTAGTAAAAATTATTGGGCAGAGGTGCACTGCTGCCCTAAATATTTTTCTAGAATAACTTTTGTTAGTATGTGTTAAGGTTAAATCTGTCACAGATTGGCTTCAGGTTTAAAAAACATCATTGGTACCAAAATGAATTAGTCCAACAAATGTAATAAAAGCCCTATTATTTGAAGAGTCCATGGGAAAAAACAACATAGTCACATTTAAAAAGTTTTGAGAAAGTATATATTGATCATTTAGATAAGTCTTCATAAAAAACAAAGAAACTTAAAAATTAGGAAAAAAAAGCATTTCTAGATAAAGTTAACATTTTTAATAAAATTTTTGTAATTTTTATAATTTTTTTTTTTTTACTTATCTTTATACAAAGACTTTGATGATCATTATATACTTTCTCAAAACTTTTTAAATGTGACTATGCTGTTTTTTCCCTTGGACTCTTCATTTGCAAACTAGAAATCAGGATTAGGTATTGTGTGAGAAAAATTAATATCAAGGTTGTACAAAAGTTTGCTTTAGTAACACCAAAATTGTGTCAAATTTTATTTGACTTACATTAAAATAACTAAACGATTTTTCAATGGTAAATGTACTAAAGTAAAAAATTACTAAAATTACTAAAGTACAAAAAAAAAAGTTTTTTTTGATTAGAAGATTACAAGATTTCCTTGCTTTGATCTTTTTTCTTTTTGATGATGTACCCAGCTTGCACAATTCACCTCAAAATTTTATATCCTGTTAACCTGCCATTATTTGTAATAAACTTTTTAGGGTTTTATTTCACAAATAAATACTATGAACTTAAAAAACGGCTTGATGTCCAACTTAAGCAAAGACATTACTATAAGAAAGATTTTTATAAAAATAAGAAAGATTTTTATAAAAACACATTTGTCTTACAAATGTGCATGAGGAGAGGATTAAGTTTTGAGGTTTGTCTATTTCCAGACTCCAGTCATAAATCTTAAAGATGTTTTAAACATTTACCAATACCAATAAAACAAAATTAGTATAAAATTAAAAAGAATTATTCTCAACTAAAAAAAAAAAATTTATTAGATTCATTTTTTTTCTAAGGTATTTTGTGTATCTACATTATTTTATGGTGCGTTTGTAGCCCTGGTCCCAACAGCTTATTTTATGCAAACAAGGTATAAAAGTTTTTTTTTAATAGAATTGTGCAGTTAACTGTTCCACTAATTATTTGTAGTCAAATCAAAGTTTTATAATTATTCCAAACCTTTTATTGTTAGTTTAAGTATTGATAATTTGTTATAACTATGCTAATTAAATGTAACTAAGTACAACCTATTGCAATCGAGTATAATCTACAAGAATCTCTTCAACTTATTGTAAAGGTTTGGACAACTCAACTGTTGATAATTAATCTTTACTATTACTTATCTTTAACTGTTATTAGTTATAGTTGTATTAAAAGTTTTTGATGGTTTTGATTGAATAGTTTTGATTTGATGGTTTTGTTTGGATAGTTTTGATTGGATAGTTTTGATTGAATAGTTTTGATGGGATAGTTTTGATTTGATGGTTTTGATTGGATTTTTTTAATTAGACGTTTTTTATTGATGGTTTTGATTAGATGTATTATTGTTTACTATACCCATATGCTTGTATTTATTATTGATGGCTGTGCTGTGTATTTGTTATCCATAATTGTGTACTAGTTGTTAATCCTATTTAATAACTATTGATAGCTGTGTAGTAATTATTGATATCTGTGATATAAATTAAATTTTTTTTTTAATAATTTTGATAATTTCCTTAATGTGTGTACAGCTGTTTATAAAATTATTTTTTCCAAATTAGTTATTAAATATAATTAATAATTGTTGAAAAACTCATTACCATAATATTTTAGTGTTCTAGATAAAACATTTTTTTATAATTTAAAAAATTATGATTTTGTAAAGAGTAAACATAAATTAAAGTTTTCAGAATCGCTTGATGAAATTTGATATTTCAATTCCTAATAATTAGTAATTACTTATTTAAATTGAGAACTTTGTTTTTTTAAATACAAGATAAATTTTTATTTAGTTAAAGTTTTAAAAAAATTTTAAAATTTTCAGTTTTTTATAGATGGAAAATATTTTGCTTTGCACAAAAATATTTTTAAAAATGTCATTACTTTAAACCTGCTGGTTACCTTAGAATGACCTCAAACCTGCTAGTTACCTTAAATGACTTCAAACCTGCTGGTTACCTTGAATGACTTCAAACCTGCTAGTTACCTTGAATGAACTTTTTATACTTGTTAACTCTAATAACTTTTGAGTTTTAATTTAGATCGGCTTTATGGGTGGCGACATCTATTAATCAAATCTGTATTAGAATGACAGGGTCTGCTGGATTTATAGCAATGAATATTTTTTTAAATAATTCAGTTGACTCAGATATTCTTGGATTAGCAAATGGGTTAGCAATGTCTGTTGGCTCCATTGGAAGGTATTTTTATGTTGTTTTTAAACATCTTATTAAATTATGTATATGCTAAAAAAATTTTTTTTTAAATATTTTTTATATTTATTATATTTTTAAAAACTTAAAAAATAATAAAGGGTTGTATTCATTTTTAGTTTTATTTCAACTCTGTACCCTTAGTTTCAATAGAAACATTATTCCAAATAAAAATTTATTGCGGTAGTTTTCTTGATATTACAAGTAATGAAAATTTGTAATGGTGCACTTATTAACATAAATGAAAATAATTTAAATCTATAAGAGTGCTCTTATTGACATCGCAAATAGTATAAATCAGAGATCTTATTCATGGAATCTTATAATTTAAATCTAATGATAAACATTTACAAGAAAGTATAATTAGAAAAAAACAAAACATTGGTTTTGAACTCCTTTTCTCTCTTATATGCACCTGCACACCTTCAGTGACCTTCTTACCATCTCCAAACATTTGCATACTACCAACTAAGTTTTGTAGATTTTTAGTTTACAAAAATTAGTCGATAGTATTCTTAACTAGAAATTTTTGTAATTTGAATATTGTTTTTATCTCTATTACCTTTGTTCATAAAAAACCACATGTTTTCAATTGTATTGATACTAGGGTTTTGAACATTCTAATCCAATAACTTTATTTTTTTTTCTTTGAAATATGCTTTTCAACCCTACTGGTATGTTTTGAATCATTACTTTGTCAAAAGACAATATTCAAATTACAAAAATTTCTAATTAATACTATCGACTAGTTAACAGTTAATACTATCGACTATCGTTAATAGTTAATACTATCAACTAATTTTTTTTTATTAATTAATATTAATACTAATAATATATTATTAATAATATTAATAATAATAATAATATTAATAATAATAATAATATTAATACGTTAGTAGTTAATACTATCGTTAATAGTTAATACTATCGACTAATTTTTGTAAACTACAAATCTACAAAACTTAGTTGGTAGTATGCAAATGTTTGGAGTTGGTAAGAAGGTCACTGAAAGCGTGCAGGTGCATATAAGAGATCATTCTAATTTATTGATGGAGAGAATTTTTAATTTGTTTCTTCAATTTAAACTTTGTTGCAAACTCTATTAAAGTTTAAACGCTTCAAAAAAGTACATTACCATCTTTGTGTTTGATTGTTGCTTTTATATTTTTTTTCTCAAAGAGTTTTCCCTACTTTTATTTTTTGATAAAATTAAATTTAATCTTTTTTGTTTCAATTTACTTTTATGGGAATATAAAATGATTTCCAAAAACTTGTGGGTTTAAAAGAGCAAAGTCAACTTTGTTGTACTAGTTCAGAATCATTCATGCATAGTTTTACTTGACAAAAATGAAACTCTGGCAGAAACAACTGATTCATGCATTACTTCTTTTGTATTATAAAATCATTGTTTCTAGATCTTTTTAGACAACCTTACCTAGCTATATTTTGCAAACTTTCAGTTTTATTGTATTTTTGTATTAATTGTGTTGTTACCTTGCTTTTATTAATTTTTTCTGCGATTTTACTATACCCTTCGCTATTTTAATGATCATCAACAATTACTTGCCATACTTTAATATTGCTTTTTGTTTTAAGTTATTTTATATTTTTTAGTTCTTTTATATTTTTTAGCTATTTTATATTTTTTAATTCTTTTATATTTTTTAGCTATTTTATATTTTTTAGTTATTTTATATTTTTTAGTTATTTTATATTTTTTAGTTATTTTATATTTTTTAGTTATTTTATATTTTTTTAGTTTGTTAAAGTTAACTAAGTTGTTTTAGAGATATGTGATGGCAATGCGCAAAATATTAGCATAATAATGAAAAACAAACAGTGTTATACACAGCTGTTGCAGATTAAACGAGTTAAGCATGCTACTTATTGAAGCGTAGACTAGATTTAAACTTAAAATATTTTGATTTTTTATCATTTGTCTACTGCTGCATTAGTCTACTACCAATCTTCATGAGCCTGTTAGATAAAAGGGTGTGAGGCTCACCCATATAATCTTTGCCTTCAAGGCAAAATCTTTAGGGGTAAGCAGAATGGTTGATTTCTTTTTCATTTTAGGGCACTCATAATTTTAGAAAAATGTTTCTTATCAAAACCACCTAAATTCATTTTTGTTATGGTTTTAGGTTTTTCAAAAAATGAACATCTTATAAAATTATTTTTTTGGTCATACATCTGTCTTGTTCTAAATTATAAATGACATTTTCATTTGTAATATGATGGTATAAATGGACTATTTCAGAATCAGAATAGAATTCAATAAAGTTGAGAAAACTAAGGTGCATCAGTTAACATACATTAACTTAGCAGCCAATTTAGAAGATTTTAAAAACCCAAAAAAAAGAACTAAAACAAAGAGTGAACTTGTAATTTTTTATTTTCTTTTCCTAATAATGACATTATTATTGATCCAAAATGCATTCTTTTGTTGTTCTTGCAATAGCTTTTCTTGACATCATTTTAGTGGAATAATTCTCTTCATATAGATTTACAAAGAGATCCTCAGAACCTGTTTCATTTATGTGCATACCAATGCTTTCCAGAAAACTCATAAGTGCATAAAGCCACTGAGCCTGACAATGGAGATATTTATGGAAGGTAGTAAATGCCTTTAACCAATGGGGATAATCACAATCAAGTGAAGTATAATAGCCAATTTAAATCAGAAGTTGCTTAAAAGTTGTTTAAAAATCAAAATTTTGTACCAAGACTGCTGTTGATAAAAGTTGCTTTAATCTTTAAACTTTTTTTTTTATGGTGATTATTACCATCACCTTTCTCTGTTAATATTGAAATATTGTGGTTGAGGTTATCAGATATCTAGTGCTTAAATCTATTACTTATTTCTTTTTAACTCTTGATTTTATGGCAACTTAAATAGTATTAGTGCAATGACACTTTTTGGTTTTAAAGCTTATATAATACATTGACTCAGACTTAACTGCTTCTGACTGGAAGGAATCAGTAGCAAAAACGTTTTCAATAATTCAGGAATCTACTTCTCTCTGTCTGCAATATCATCAATACTAGAGTAAAATTCTTTAGATTTAATGTATTCTTTTATCACAGGTATCTTTTGTTGCCTGGCTATATTCTTCAGGTTTCCTTAGTATATACTTTTAAACAACTCCATACTTTTAAACAACTATTTAAACTTTACAGCCAGCAATTTAGGCAAATTCGACTATATTTTCATACATTATCTTTAGTTCTGGTCGAAATATTTTTGAACATCTTATCATATAACTCCCTAATAAACTATACTAATTTTTCTGCAGTTTTTTTAAGCAAACAACAAATATTTTTAAATGTATTGGTCATGACTGATTTTTTCTACCACTTTTCCTGCTTTGTTTAGCAAGAGGCTAGCCATGCATAAAAACAATGATTAGCTTATTCTGTAACAGTTTATTTAATGTTCCCAATCTTATAAGTCATTGATTGCACCAAATATTATTTCCTGCTTTTGCACACTTAATAATATTATAGTATTATGTAGTATGAAATGGCTCCACCGTTTTCACTTGGTGAAGCCATTAAGTTCGGTTTTGAGGACTTTAACTGATGAACATAATTTTTTAGATTCAAGTATAAGAGTCTTTTTCCAAAGATTAGTGAGCAAAACATGCCCTTCAATATTTATGATGGATGTTCACTGGAACTTATTTATCTCAGGGGTCCTCTAACATTTGATCTCTATTTGTTTCTTTCTTTATGAAAGATACTCTTAATAGCGATCTTAAGCCTTTTTGACTAACCATATTTATTTATTTTTTTATCAACAAAAACAAAAAGCTATTTAAACATGATTTAGCTGAGTTTTAGTCAAAAAAAAATTTTAATTTTTTTTGCAATTTTATGTAATCAACCAAACATTTTGCTTTCTTCATTTCGATAAGGAATTTTAGATCAACTTTGTAATCCTTTCTGCACAATCATTAATGATCGTGACTGGAAGTCATCAATATTGGTGACTTCCAGTCAAAGTCAAAAAAAAAAAAAGATGGAAGTCGTTAATGGTGACTTCCATCTTTTTTTTTTTTTTTTTACAAACAATTTAAAGTTATTCACAAGAAAAAACTCTTTTTTCAGTAAACTCAACTTGGGGATGGGTAATCTGGGCTAAGCAAAATAAGATCCAACTATGATTACCATATCTAATAGTGTGATTAGAGGCAATATAGATTTGCTTTTTATGAATCTAAATTAATCTCTATGAAGGTCTAGAGTTTTTACAGCATTTTCTTCTACTATCTTCTTGTTTTTCTAAATATTGTTATCAGAAAAAAAAACTATAACAACAAGCTGTTGACTTACTTAACAAGTATGGTTCTGCACTTTTAACAAGTATCATTTTGTACGCTTCTAGCAATGATTGAGCAGGCTCAAAGTATTTTTTTATTAAATCTTTTGAATACTGCTAAACTATTAACTGGTGATTTATTATCAGACAGATTTTGAGATATTTAAAGATTTAGATATTTAAAGATAAATATGCATAATTAAAATTTAAGATTTCTTCGTAGGTTTTTATTATTTTTATAATTTTACTTAGTTCTTTTTATTTATTTATTTAAAATTTTATTAGTTCGATGAAACAGTGTTTAGAATTATGTTATATCATTTAACTTGTTATCTTAATAAATTGTAGAAAGTGTCAGAATAATTCGTAGTTAATAAAAAAGCAAAAATTAATCCAGGAATAAACTCTAAAAAAAATTGAAAATTAAGTTTACACCATATCTGCTGGCTGCAGCACTATAAAGTTAAGATTAGATTATATTAGATAAGTTAAGTTAAGATTATCCATGTAGTACAAGACGACTAGTCTTTTTAAAGAAGGGAAAATTTTTTTAAAATATAGCAGTGACTGACAGCTACTTTTTTAAAAAAAATGTTAAATAATTGACTGACCTTCAAGTTGGATATTTTTTAGTTACAATACAGTTTTAATTTACAAAAGATTGTTTATTAATAAAATTATTTTAGATAATCTAAATGAATCTTTGTTGTGATTATTTAAACAAAATCTTTAAAATACCTCATTTATACTTTTGCACAACATTTTTAGCAATCAAATTGTATGAATTGTTATTTTTTTTAAACAAAATACAAAAAAGTTTATTTGAATGAAATTGCTTTTTTTTTTTTGTAAAAAAAGTGTAATTTAAGATTATGTACTCATAAAAATTATTTGTGATTATACTTATAACATAAAATTTATGTACTGTCGTCTTTTAGGTTGCTAGAAATAAACAAATCAAGCTAGATTAGTTTTTATTTCTCTCTTTTTTTTATTAGTTCCGTTGGCGCTGTTGCATTTGGAAATGCTTTTACTTGGTCAATGAAAAACATTAAAAATGCGCAAGAAAACAACACTTCGGCTGTGTTTCCTATAAACCAATATTTCGCGTTTGTGATAATGGCAATTTTGTCGATGTTAGTTTTTTTGTGTGCGCTTTGTATTCCTTCATATTTGAACAAAAAAAAAACCCGAACTGCACAACAACGCTCGGCTACGATTGTTACAACAACATATTTTCGTTTTAGCCAATAGAATTGAAAGTAATTGTGTAAGCATAAATTGTTTGGATTGTAAACAAACTAACCAAAGCTTTAAAAATAGATAATGTATTTCAAACTTTTAGTTACGCTTTTAACAACAACAGTTAAAAATATAGCTTGCTTACCAAAAGAGCGCCAAAATTGGTGTATCGATATCATAGAGAACCCCTTGGATGTATGTAATAATAATATTTAAAATATTTATATTATTATATTTAGTATAAATAGTAATTGTAGTATTTTATATCATTTTATATTCCATGTGCTAGTTAATGTATATAAAACCATTTTAACAATGACGGATCCAGGATTTTTTAGTGGTGGTGATGGTGGTGGGGATGATACCGAAATTTATCCTCATAAATTTTTATGAAATCGTATAAAATACGTGAAACAATATCAATAAAGATATGTACATTACAAGTTAAACAGTGTTACAGTTTTAAATACACCAGTCTCTCTGCGTTGAGGAAAAAATCACAACCTTTTTTATAACTAGTTGCTTGTGCTTTAAAAATCACGTGTTCATAGTAGATTTATTTAGTAAATCTCGGTGTGAAAACTATTTTTTTTAATATTGGCGTTTTCAACAGGGATGTTGTTTCTATACAATTATTTAACTGCATAAAGAAGACTCGCAAGATTACTAAGGGTATTTCTAGCATTTTATAAATAAAGCACCGAAAATAGCATTTTTCCATGCTTTGTTCTCGTGACGACTCAAAGATAAATTTTTCACAAAGGTAATTTTAACGCAATTTTTATTGAATTCAAGGCACCAGTTAGATCATTTTTGACTGTTTTTAAACTCTGAGACATTGTTACGCTCAATATTATTACGTTTTTGGCTCAACTTTGTTGAGCCAAAAACGTAATAATATTGAGCGTAACAATGTCAATAATATGTAAGCGACAAAATCAAAAAGACTTCTTAATAGTGTCTTGCATTGTTAGGAGTTTTTCTGCGTTTTGTGACAGTTTTCTTAAGCATTTTAGAATAATAGTAACATTTTAAATGAAATTAAGTAAGAAATCATACCTCTCAATAAAACGTGTTTCATAACGTTCTCAATAAAAGTTGGATCTCATGTTTAAACATGAAATCCAACTTTCTGACTCGTGGTGGAAATTTCCCATTTTCTCCCTTTTTTTAACAAAAATAAAAGTTGTACACTTCTTCAATATACTAAACATTTCCTGAACAATTAAACTTTTAAGAAAGTGAATACTAAAATGTACAAAAAATGTAAAAGGAGCCATATGGGTTACGTACTCCAGGCCACCATTATTACAATCAGACAAAAGTACCTATTATGAATAATTACTTGAATAATTAGTTACTATATTTAGCTTCTGTCACTAAGATGAGCAGTCCTTGTGTAGTGTTCAGAGTGCTTGCTTAAAAAGATTTAAGATTGGATATCTGCTTAAACCAAATTTGTGACGTCGTATTAAGAAGTGGTTTAAATTTTCTTGTTAAATGCTTTTTCACGGTGCATGACCAGACCGTTAAATGCTTTTTTACGGTGCATGACCACAGACCGCTAAGTATTGAAGTTTTGAATTCTTTGAAAACTTGAACTCTTTAATAATCAGAATAATTATAATAATAAAAGAAAAGATCAAAAGCTTTCGTAAAAATTGAAAACTTTTTTTCTTGTTTATCGTTGGATAAAGACCGTTTATCACACACACAAAACTGATACACACGCGCGAACGTATGTGTGCGTTAGTTTTGTGTGTATGATAAATGGTCTTCACACAGATCTGATAAATAGCTTTTATTTCATCCATAATTACAAAAAAAATTTTTACAATTTGAAAAAAAAAAAATTATCTTTAGTATTATAATTTGACCACAAACGTCTATTAGTTCGTTTTGAATTTTTTTGGAATTTATACTAACAAGATCATGTTCTATCTATAGATACGTTAAAATAAGTTATAATTTAGAAATTATTCTCAGATTGTATTATCATTTTTAAAATTTTTCTACAGTTTGACCACACGGTTAGTGAGGAAGCAATTTTAGTTTCAAACAGGTTGTGCTTTAAGTTATTTGGTAAATCATGTAAGCTCAAAAATGATTGACGCTGAGTGTATGGTACTTGTCTATGTATCTCCACATTTTTTACTTTTGAGATAAAACGATTTAAAAAACAAAAACTTTAGGAGACGGCGTATAAATTTTTTTTTATAACATGTTTTTTTCGCAACTTTTTTACTTATAACTTAGATTTCAATTCAGTAGAAAGACATTATTTTGAGGAACACAATACTATCATTAACTCATTTTTTTCAGAAAGTGGAGATAGAACAAAATAATTCTAACGTCGCGATGTGTTACTTGGCTTGGTATTAAACTTGCTTGTGTTTGGCTATATCTTGAACTAGATATGGTAAATATATCCAGCTCAACATATGGCTAAATATATGACTTATTCCACAAATTCAAAGATTGGGCAAACGTATATATATACATCTTTCATTCGTCAGTATTATTCGGCAAACATTGTATATTATACAATGTACGCTAAAATACAAGACAACGGCCTTGAAAAGCACTCTTGAGCAATAGTTACCAACAGATGCGGCTGTTAATACTAGTTTTCTAACCTTTAAATTACGAGTCATTTAAAGGTTAGAGTATTTATTACAGTACAACGTCAATCTCGTTTATATATTGTGCACAATTGCACTGGTGCAGTAGGCCAATATTGTGTAAATTGCATTTGTTTGATGTTAATGCGATAATTAAATTGAAGCGCAAACAGTACATTAGCGAATATTGCGCTTAAATTAATACATTTTTTCAAAACATCCTAATTTTATGTATATTTTTATGTATAGATTCTACAAGATTTGACAGGAATCTTTCTTCAGAATGTTTCATAAACTAGGTGGTCAGCTCAAATTCTGGTATTAAACGAACTGCAAACCAATCACGAGGAATTATTGCTCCTCTAAACCGTACTATAGGGGATCTTGACTTTACCTCTGACATGCTAAATCAAGCTATGTTTTTGGTAAAAATTTAAAAGTTGTTTAAAATTGCCGTGACTTTTCAGGTACAAAACTCTCCAAGTGGTCGACGAAATAAGTTGTTAACAACTTACTTCGTCGACATCTTTCAAGATGTCAAATTTCTCCACGTAGAGTTTTGTACTAAAAGGTCACAACATTTTAAAAGAATTAAAAAAAATTTTTAAAACAAACTTTTATTTAAGTTAACTTTATTAACAATCGATGACGAAAGTTTTGACTCACTCATCACGGATTAATATTTTGGTAAAAGAAAAAAACTGTTTTAGGCCCTTTTGGCTCTGAAACAGTTGTTATCAAAAAGAAAAATGAGAGCAAAATCAACTTGCAATGATCCTGCGAATGCATCTTTCTGCTATGAGAACCCCAAGAAACAATTTATGGTCAATATTCGTAACAACATTTTAAACAAGTTCAACCAATAATTAACAATCTAAAGAATTTTCTTTAAGATTTTTTTCTTTTCTGGTTAAAAGATCAAAAACCGAATTCTTAAGAAATCAAATCTAGTGAATTAGCACAATTTTACGCTAGTGATGTCAAAGTTTATGACAAAAATTATGGAAATTTTTCATCTTGATTGTATGAAGTAGTTTTCGCTTTTTACTCCTAGAAACCTTTTGAGACTTCTCAATCAAATACACTTGAAGGCTCAACAGCCTAATTTGCCATCTGTATTCATTTTAATTCAAATAAATAAAACAAATGAGTATCTGTTACAGAAGACAAATGGTTTTTCAATAAGTTAAGTTTAATCAACAACAAGGCTAATTTAGACCAATTTAGGACTAGAACTCCATTCGGATAACATGATGCTATCACTTATGGCAGCCATTACACTCGAGTAATTACTGCCATAAGTGATAAGCCATACGTTAGTAACGAGAAAGAGTCGCAGTACTTTTTCTTATAAGAAAATATGAACGAAAGTGTATGCAAATATCTAAATTATGTAAACTTTAAATTGTTCAATGCTAAAAATTATATCAAGTTTAAGAGTTTTACTTTTACTTGAAACATCAACATCTCCTTAACCCTTTATTTCATGACTTTTTTTTTATTTTTTTTTTTGTAATATCAAACTATAGCTTGAGCATATTAGAGCATATTGAGCATATTAGAGCATATTGTTATAACTATGACTTTTTTTGGATTCCCAGTTAACTGATTTACGAAGTATTGTGAAGTCTTATACAGATCCTAAAGGATCTGTATAAGACTTCACAGGTTTATTAAGCAATTTGCAGGAAATATGCCTGGTATTGAATGGGTAAAATCATTCCTTTAGAGAAAATGGACTAAAAGGAGCACGTTATAACCGCTCAAAGAGTGGATGGTTTGACTCAAGTTGTTTTACATATTGGTTTGAATCTTTATTGTTACATGAACTAAAAAAAAACTTCTGGAAAACATGTTCTAATTGGAGACAATTTGGAGACAATCGTCTCATATAAATACATATGTACTATTTTTGTGTAAAGAAAACAACATTAATTTGCATATTTTTAACCAATGAAAGCTCAGTTGAGAAAAATACAAACAATTTGGTAAAAAAGTGGCAAAGGTCGTAAAGCTCCTTTTCTTCCAAAAGACCAATTTCCAGCATTGCTTAAATGACTCATAAAAAAAGTTGAAGAACCTGGTTGTAAAAGTATGAAGACAGGCTTCAGAAAAACTGGATTATACCCACTTGATTATTTTTTGAGTTTTAAATATTATTAGGATTTCTATGTGATTTATATCTCAAATTAATGTGAAAATTAGCTTCAAGCTGTTATTTTTAATATTTTTTTGCCTTAAAAACATATCACCAAATATCCATGTTTCTGTGAATATGTAAAATATGAAACGATTAATCAATAATTGTAATTTGCTTTTAGATGGCAGAATAACCACCATTATAGGGGTGATTTTGACTCTAAAAATTGAAAATAAAAGTGAAAGGTATAAAACTTTTGTTTTTTATTTTAATTATTTATTTATTAACATCATGCACACCTAAAGCATGAAATGAAGGGTTAATTTTGATTTGAAAATTTAATTGCTGTTTTATAACGTCTTTTATTTATTAAATAATGTAAAAAGTGCAGTGGTAGATTAAGACTTCTTGGGGCCCGGGGCTATATTTGTTTTTGGAGGCCTTTTTATAGGCCAGAGCCTAAAAACGATTTAAATAAAGAAAAAAAAAA